TTCGTGTTGATCAGTCCTTAGTTTTTTTTTATAGAATTCACGTGTTATGTATACTTTTGTTTGTCGTTTCGTCGGATTTGGGTTGGTTGCCATGAATTTGTCTCTCTTTCCTATACTATTATTTTTTGGTTCTCCTTTTTGGTATCTTCCTTCTGTTTTTGGATTTATTGTACAGAATAAAATTTGGTCTTATCAGATTGTAAGACCTATATAATATTGTTTCAGTCCCATTTCAGGTACAAAGTATCAGTCTTTTGTAACCATATAATGTTCCCTCTTGTAGAGGAGCTAGACGATCGCGAGCGTTTTTTGTAAAACTCAAATACGTTATATAAGACTTGATTTTTCAACTTGTCAACTATATTAAAATTTTGCAATATTAATTATAACGCTGTCCCCATACATAAGTAATATAGAATTACCTATCTAAAAAGCCTAGCAAACATATAATTTTTGCTATTGACTCATATATCACTTCTTGCGTTGATATTGTAAATGTTATGGTTATTTGTGACGATGTTGGTTTTGGAGAACAAAGCATTGTCGAAGACTGAAAGGTTAAAAGAAAGGACTGTTTCACAATTAACAAGATGGAATTTTCCTGTCATCAGTGACTCCATGTTTTTCCTCCTTCTGCAAATATTGGACAAAAGAGAAAAGGCGGATAGAAAATTATGGGATTCCTTTAAAAATATACATGAATTTTATTTGATAATTGTTTTAAACATTTCAAAAATACTAAGATGGTATCGAGACAAAAACAATAAAGGTGCTATCGGGAAGCGTTTTTTTTTGTTCTTCTTTTTTTTGTACCTGATTGTTAAAAGCAAGTAGCAACATGTTTGTTGCTTCACGTATATTGAAATACTCAAAAACAATAAAGGTGCTATCGGGAAGAGTTTTTTTCCCTTCTTTTTTGTACATATTTACAAAGCAGGCAGCAACGTGTTTGTTGTTTCACGTATACTCAAAACTAAGATCACTAATTCGAAAACGTTGATACTTGCAATTTCTACTGACGAAGTTATCGTTCGTGTAGATCAACACGCTTCAACATCGAATGAACTGAATGCTGCCATTGAACACCACATGGTTATCACTGTGTATTGGCTTCTTGATTGCTCAAGACTCCTTATGAATTTAGTTTTAGATCTTCTTCCAGGAAATATTCAAATACCCATGTTTCTGTGCATTTGACTTGTCGATTTCCGGCGCAGAGCTCACATCCGTTCTATACTTACTTCGTATATTAAACTCTCATTGTTGTGTAGTGGAACGGAAACGAGCGCTGTACGGAGATTGCTGACTTGTGCTCTTACAACTATTAAGGAACTCGATATAAAATATTATGACAAAAGGTATGTTCGGGGCCTTTTATAGGTTGTTATGCGTAATGTTGAAGGCCGTACGGGAAGCTATAGTTGCTACCTTCTCAGTCATTTGGTCTCTGGTGGAAAGTTGCTTCATTGACAATCATTCTACATCTTCTCATCTTTGTATTAATGTCGTTATTAACTATTTCTTGTAAACAACTTTGAAAGTCTTAGATAGGCTCAAATGTACACGAACGTTCTTTTAATGTCAATGTGTCTCCGTTGACAGTTATGTGTATGATTTCTCTACTCTGAATACGGCACAACACACAATCTAATCGAGCAGACATTTTTATATAGAATGGTCTTATGATATAGTCATTTTTCAGTAATAACACTATTACTAAATTAACAGTAATTGGACGTGCAATGAAATAATTCAAACCATGGTTTGTTTACCTGATGATATGTAATATTTTCGTTGTGAATGTACATATCAACAGCATTTTGGTTTTCTGGTGTTTTAGGTCCCTTTTGGCCTTACATCTGTTATATACATCCTTGGCTTTCAAATATTTGTGTCTGACCGTTCATTATGAAGGGAAATTCCTGAAAGCGCTTCGGATGCACGAACATTTATTAAGCGTTATTGTTGTAAAAGCAAATTTGCTTGTTTCTGAATCCTTAGTCTTTATTTCAATTGTATCATATCGTTTTTTGTGATGAATTATCTGAATAAATATTGTTTAAACTAAAATTTCATAAAGATCTAAATAAACTCCACTTAGTAGAACTTTTAATCAACTCAAGCAGATATTAGAACGATGTACTATTCTGTATAAACATTACAGATTGATTAATAAAAATGTCTTCTTTTGTCTTCGGCTCTTTCTTTTGAAGAGTATATTTCTCAGCAGCTTCAACATGCGCATGTTTGCAATAATGTCTTGGTTTCATTGAACTATTATATAATAATACACGTTGTGGATTTTCGTTTATTTAAACATTAAACTGTCAAAATCAAGGATATTTATATCATAAATTGATTAAATATTTTACTGAATTTTATCACAAATATAGAGACTTAAAGTTTTATCGTGGTAGTTTCGATTTCAATGAACTAAATACGTTGTGTATTTGCATTAACTTGAACATTAAACTGTTAAAACAGGCATATAGAATAAATTGATTACAATTTTAATGAATTTTATCACAAATATAGAGATTTAACGTGATAGTTTAATTCCAGTTTTAAATTTATTAGAAATGTGGTATTTGGTTTCCAGCTTCTAACAGGGATATTGTTAATTTATAAAGCTAAATTCAGAAATTTAACTTCAAATCTTTCTTATTAAGCTTATTAGCTAAATAGACTTATTGATAATTAATGTCATGCTTATTCTGTTACTGTTTAGACACTGCGTCACTCTGCTTGTGTTTTGTTTTTATTTGGGGGAAGGGGAATAAAAAAGCAATTTAAAAATTTGAAGCAAGACTAAATATTTCGATTGATTGTATGCATTGAAATACTGTACAATTTGCTCTTGCCATTGCAAAAGATTATCAATGTCTTGTTCGTGACTTTAGTGGTTCTTATGTGAAATCTAAGAACAGGCACCGATATTAGAGTATGGGACGGCATGATTTCAATCAGTAAGTTAAGAAGCTTGCTTCCAGTTAATACGACCATTCTTTGATACGCTATGATTTATTATTGTAGTTCTTGTCCTTGTGTATTTGTTATATATTATACTGGTATTGTACAGTACAGAGGGGCCTCGGTGGCCAAGTGGTCTAAGTAGTTACTACTGTAATCACTAGCCAGTCAACACTGGGGTTGTGAGTTCGAACCCAGCTCGTGCGGGTGCACTCGACTCCAATCTTAATTGACTAGGATTGTCAGTTTTCCTATCGAATGTCAGTGGTTTTCTCCGGGCACTCCGGCTTCCTCCACCAATAAAATCTGCCGCCACGAAATAGCCCAAAAGCGGTGCTTAAAAGTGGCGTTAAAACACCAAAAATCAAATCATTACAGTACAGTGATTTTTCTGCACAGTTTTTTTTTTTTTCGTTCTATGTACCGTTTTATCATTCAACTGGTTGAGATTTAAAGGGGAAGCGTTGAGATCTCCTAAAACTAATTCAACAACACCAAATATTAATTTGCCTGTCCCAGGTACAATTTCATCAGTGCCTTTTTTTAGTTTTATCTTTATGTGTTTTATTTAGAAAATCTGGTGTCACAACTAGAAATAGAAGGTTCGATTTAGAACTTGACATATCTTATTGACACTTTGTCTACAACAATCGGTAAACCTCGTCAGATTTCGCTACCCTAGATTGTTAAATCTGCCAATGTGTTCCAAATGTTGGTTTCTATGTGTCATTTTTGTAATTGTTTTGTAAGATTAACTTGTACACCTTAAATGTATATAAGAATATCTGAATGGGGTGTACAGAATACTAGTTGACAATAAATAAATAGTGGACCAAGCCGGAGCACAGAAAAATGTGCCAAAAAATAAAGAATAGAGAAAAATGGGGTGCTAAGATACAGTTAAATAATAGAGAATAAAAGAAAAAGAAGGAAAACGAATAGAGAATAAAAGGGGAAATAAAATAAAAACTAGAGAAAGATTACCTAAAAAATCTAAAGAAAAGAAATAAAGGACACCCATCCAGACTCTCATATAAAAAAAGTTCGATAATGGACGATTTTTCATGAGACTACTTCTTTAAAAAAATGAACTTTTTGTTTGGTCATACCAATATCACAGAACCCGTACGCTTGATTGGGGTAAAGACATATGGTTATCACTGGACTTCTCTATGATCCGGCATAAACCCATGGCAAATAAGAATGTCCTAGTGGAGTTTACATGTACGCAGCAAGTTCCAGTGGGAATTGGAATGTTAAATCAGATGCCGCGTGTACAAAGTCTCCTTGCTATACTCTTTGCATCTATTAAGAAACCTTGCAACAGCTCTTTAGAGTATCGTAGGTGGAATATTCTTATGCAAAATTCGTGTCCTATCATGCATGAATTTTTTTAGTCTCCTCTTTCCAGTGACCCTTTAAATACCTCACGCTTCACCCTAGGCAATCCACTTCTAAGAACCAACCTATTGAATTAATTTAGTTTTTTTTTTGTCTTTTCCTGAATAGCCATGAAATATTTCCTACTGGACGTAAATGGAAACAAATAATAAAAGAGAAGCAGAAGATACCAAAGAATAGTCAAATTCATCAGTCGAAAATGTCATGGCAAAATACGGACAACGACAAAAAGACAAAACACAACATACAATGTAGGAAACCTAAGACTGCGCAACATGAACTCCACCAAAACCCGTGGGTAATATCGGGTGTTCCAGAAGAGTAAGCAGATCCTGCTTCACATGTGGCACCCGTCGTATTGCTCCTGTCACATGTAGTACAAACATTCCAATAATGTCACAAACTCATGTGGAAAACATGCCATAAAGGTTATATATATTTGTTATGAACAAGTCATCTTTAAACCCATATAAATACATGTATGAGGAGATGTGGATCAAAGTCAATGCACCAGCAACCAAATAACATAACAAAACCATAACATATTAGACACTGATCACTCGTCAAATTGTAAAAAAAATAACCTCTTTTTTCTTTATATTTTTTACAACTATAAAGGAGAAATAAAATTTATCCCGAAAAAAATATTTATTAAGAACACCAGGAAAAATGTAGTAAACCGTGCTGGATATACATGTGTGGCTCTACTTAAATGATATTGTGACGTGGTTTTGTCTTTTTATTCCATGGATAAAATTGTAAGATTTTAAAATACAGCTTTCAATTGTCTATGACTTTCAAGGTTTGGTCCTTCCATCTGAAAGAAAACAAGAAAGATTAAGTAATTATGAACCTTTTTCAAGTGCTAGGTCTAACTTTTCGAGTCGAAGCGAATGTAATGACGAGCTATGTAATTTATCAATTTCTAGGTTTTATTTATCTACATTTCAACAATCGTACAAACATATATGCCAATCTTCCTATTCAATAACATTTTTAATATTTTTAAACGGGGGAGTAACATGAAAGCTACATTGTAGCTGCCGAATATATGGCATTTAACTTGTAACGGTTCAGATAACAAAAAAATATATTATGTATTAACCAAACTAGGATTGCAGCTTGAATGCAGAAGTTTTTCTATTCTGGCTAGAACCTTTCTGATATTTGTTGTACTTAAACTTTGAAATCTTTCATGTCGGCTTACGCATGATGAAAGTCATTCAAGAAACACGTGTCGAGTGCACTGAAATTAATATGAAACGTAAATATAGTTGTATTATTAATAAGTCAATAATAAAACTCATAAAATAATTTGTTTTATGTTTTTGTTTGCTATGAACGCGGCAAAGTGCAGAATCTTTTATTTTGACTTGTTGACATCGATGTCACATTTTGATATTCACTGCATAACCTAGAAAAAACCTGAGGCGTAACACATATTAAGGAAAAAGTTGAAAATATGGGAAGCAAAAAACACATAATGCCTTTGACATGAGGGAAAATGATAATTAAAAAAATCAGAAAAAAATAGATTTTATTTTCAAGATACCAAAAATGTTTTCAAAACTCAGAAAAATATTGAAATTTTAACTGGGTGGGTTTAAGGAAAAGGTATGACAAAACCCATATTTGGCCCCTTGAATTTGAAAATTAAAAGATAGTTTGCTACAAGTAGTTTTATTCGAGGATGTTAATGTTGGTAAAACATCTTTAAGCATAAGGCCTTTGTATCATTTCTAATTTGCCCAATAACTATGTGAAAAAATGACCATTTTCACCTTTTGTCGTTCAGGTTTTTTTTTATTGATTACGGCCGTGACGGATTTTGCTCATTGTCGAAGGTCGTACATGTACGTTGACGCATATTTGTTTACCTCCTCGTCTTTTGGTCTTTGGTGAATAGTTGTGTCATTGGTAATTATACCACATCTCCTTATTTTTACATTTAGTTTTGATAGTGAAAATCGTCATAGTGATTACATGCATGTAGATAACGATAAGAGTGTCGACAATATGGTCTATCGAAGTGTAAACCAAGGGAAAATATATACGGGTCTATCACATTCAAGTGTTAAACATAGTAGATATGCAAATCATGTAAACATTTTGACACCATATCATGTGTCATTTCTTCACTGATGTGTCCAAATTATTCTGTTTAAACATTTTTACATGACAAAATTAACACAATTTCGAAACATTTGTAAAATTGTACTATTTTTACAATTTAAAGGCCAAACTAATTGCTCTTATCATACCATCTCCTTATTTTTTATTTTGTTTTGTTCATTAAATATATTGAAAGCTTTAAAATATAGCAAAAAAAAGACAACAGTAAATCGACCATTCAACAATTAAGGTTATTTGCTGATATTTTTTTCCCCCTGGGAGTAATTATGCAAAATCACCATTAGGCGTTAAGGACAATGTTAAAGTTTTCATTAGATTTCTATTAAGATTAATATTATTTATTATATCACCTGTTAAGGAAATATCATAATATAAATGAGGTAATAACCCGGGGGTAATAAACCGGGGGTAATAAACACCTTACGTTTCATTAATTTCCTGTTTTCGGAGTTAACAAATGGATTACATATAATTTTTGTTTTACCCTTGAGCATTTACGAGGGTCTGGATGGTAGGTCCTTCATTTCTGTATTGTAATTCTTTAATTTTTTTAGGCCGTCTTCTCTATTCTTTATTTTTGTTGCCCATTGTTCTCCATTCATTACATTTTAACACCCCTTTATATTCTTTTCTTTATTTTTTGTTGGCCTATTTTTCTCTTTCCTTTATTTATTTAGCCCTTCATTCTGCACGTTTTGCCCATTCTTCTCTATTCTGTAAACCCCCTCCAAACCCTCATATACAATTAAAATAACATTTTACAAATTATATCTTACCATCTTTTGTGGCACATTGATTTACATTGTATGAAGTTCATTTGTCCTGGACGTTTTAAACAATTAAAAATGCACTGTCCTATTCCTCGCTTTGCATATTTATATAATTCCTCTGACGTTTGACGTACACTGTTGCTTTGGTAATTGTCGTCTGCATCCATATACTCGTTGTCGTTTGCGTCGTCGTCGGACAAGGATGACATCAATAAATTCTGTAATGATCTGAAGTTCAACTTCGGCACGGATACGTAATTTCTTGTATCTAAAATTGTAAAATAAAATATTCGATATGAAAAGGATAATTGTAAGGACGGACATTTTAAAACAATTGTCGATTATCATTGTTAGAAGAAAAAAATGTAAGCGAAACATTTACAAAATACCAAAACCAAGCAACCCTTGTGTAGCAAAAATCCTACTCAAACCAGGATAAAATCAGGTACTTCTACTGGTATGTATAAGGGTTTAGATGGTGGGTTCCTCAATTCTTCAATTTTTCATCCATTTTTCTCTTTCTTTATATTTTTGGTCTATTTTTCTCTAAGACTCTTCTTTATTTTATGGCCCATCTTTCTGTAGTATTGATTCATTTTTCTCTTTTCTGTAATCCTCATCCAGACCCTCACGTATCGGCAATTCCTGTTTCCGTTGTGAACCTTATGCGTTTCTCGCACGTAATTACATGTAAGGGAGCTACCATTTGATTTTTAGGGGGGGGGGGGGCTAGGATGAAATTTCAAAAAAAAGGCAGGACAGGAGTTTTGAGTAAAAAAAGGCAGGATGAGCGACTTGGCAAAAAAAGGCAGGATGACAATTTATGTAAAAAAGTCAGGATAAACTAATAAAAAAAGGCAGGACCGAATAGAGTGAAAAATAAAAAGCAGAACAGAGATTACAACTTAAAAAAAATGCAAAACAATTTTTTTTTTCATCCTAGCCCCCACCCCAATAAAAATCAAATGGTAGCTCCCTAAGATAGTTGACATATGTAGGTTCATTTATTTAATATTATTAATCCGTCCCTGCTATACAAGTTTGATGACTCAAATCATATGTTTTGATAGATTGTTGTTTGTTTAACGCCTAGCGGCAAATGTTGCACGTATGATGCACTTTTGTGACAGTAACATGTTAAAATGTGCAAATGAAAATAAAACGTACTTTGTTCTAGGCGGACATGCTAAGCATGATTTTTTTACGTGCTAGCTCACAAAGTGGTATTTCATTGAACGACGAGTCACCAAACCCGGACACTATATAATAACTGCGTTCCGACATGTCTTTTGTCTTATAATCTTCAATGTCGTGTGCTTAGCAGAAAATTAGCAACTATTCAGTTTAAGTTATCTAAGTGACACCCTCAATCAGAAACAAACAATCCTTTACCCCGTATAAAGAAAATGGTTGCTCTTTTAATTGCTGTCTTTTTCAGAGATCTACTAATTAATTTATCATGTAAAACATTTATCGTGAAAAGATTCCCAAAATTATTGTAAAAGAAAGCAAATAATCAAATTATAAATGAAGACAGAAACACACAGGCATACAAACATGCCTCTGGCCTTTGTTAGTCTAGTATGTTTTTTAATTTTAGTTCATTTATATGTTTTGGAGTTTAGTGTGACGTCCATTTTCACTGAACAAGCACACAATTTTATTTAGGGGCCAGCTGAGGACCACATCCGGGTGCGGGATTTTCTCGCTGCATTGAAGACCCATTGGTGGCCTTCGGCTGTTGTCTGCTCTTTGGTCGGGTTGTTGTCTCTTTGACATATTCCCAATTTCCATTCTCAATTTTATTTTAAAGTAATTTTCAGTGACGACTGTAAGTAAACAGTTATTGTATCCATGAATGATTAAATGTGAAAAGAACCAAGGTGCATGTTTGTGTCTGTAGGGTGTGAGAGAGAGAGAGAGAGAGAGAGAGAGAGAGAGAGAGAGAGAGAGAGAGAGAGAATGGGTGCCTCGTTGAATGAATGCATTGGTGATAGAGAGAAATATAATGTGTGTGACAGAGTGAATGGCAAAGGAAGATCTATAATCTACATGTTACAGGTATGTTGAGCGAAGTTTTATCGGGGAATTAAATATCAATAAACAGGAAAAATTGTATTACTTCCTAAAATCAACTAAAATACAACCGGAGTTAAACTTAGGACTGTACCTCTTTCACGGGTCACACCTACATCACATTAATAGATAAACTTTACATAATTAGAAATCAGAAATTGGATTGATGAATGGCTTGGGGTTTAACGTCCAGTGTCAGATATTACATGAGTATATGATTATAACTTGTTGATGTGACATACATATGAACCCTTCTTTGTACTTGATAGATACGCTAGGTCGGATTTTTAAGTTCTTTGTATACATGTTAAACAGTTCGTTGGGATACATGTCACACTAAGGCTATCCGGCTATCCGGACACATCATTCGGACTCCGAGTCTACATCTTACTCTTAAAGTATGCGTCATTAACTAGGAAACAGCAAAACCAATGTTCAATTTCAAATCCGGACGCCGGTTTAACCTGCGATTCTACGTGTCCGTCATTTATGTTATCGATCATTTCAACGTTTAATTTACGTAAGAAGTAAAGATAAATTTGAAATGAAACACGGTAAATAATGAAAATTGTGCGGATACAACGTTACGTGTATACACAGACATAAATTCAAAAAGTAATGTTTGAAGATTAATTAGACTGTGCATGTTTGGTTAAAATTGAATTATCCTAGCAGTAATTTGTTGCTATTTTTAACAATTAACCTCAAGTTTCTTATTTGTTAGTATATAAAGCAGCGAAAAAATAACTTTAATTAATCAAAAACGACTACATTACCACAGCTACAGCTCCCTATTATTTAATTTAAAACAACGTTTAAGTATGTTTGCAATTACCTTTCTGTTTATTTTTTAACAATGTCCTTAAAGTCATATGAAACGAGTTTCTCGTTTTTAAAATGTTGAGAAAATTATTGAACCAATGCATTAGATATGTAACTTTAATAATTTGATACTATGATAGATATAAAACTAAGGCGATGTGGAATGATTGCCAATGACACAATTATCCACCAGTCGAAATGATGTGGATGTAAGCAGCTATTGTTCACAGTCAGGTCTTCGTCAATGAGCAAAACAAATACCGTATACGTAGACCAATTCTCCTGTAAGTTTATGAGATTGGACTTTTGAGAATTTGCAAATAATTTAAAATTTTGCAAAAAGATACTACGGATATTTCATAGTTTTATGATGTTTGGAAAGTTTGGAAGATTACCATAGGAAATTCGGGCCAAGATTAGCTTTTCTACTGGTTTAAACAGGAAAGTAACATAGAATCCTCAGTAAAGAACCATAGTAAACATTTTGTTTCTGGAATATGTATATATATTCCTTCGACAACAAAGGGACTGCTACTGGTGCCCTGTACATTGTGTACGTTCTACTCGGGTACCTGCCGTGGAACAGCAATAGTTTTGTAAATTTGCATTGTATATTTTAATCGTTAACTATTAGTCTTTAAGCTATGTATTTGTATCAATGACTGAACTATCGGTAATAAGCAAAGTTTACTTTAGATGTGTTGACCGATTTGTTTAGGTTCTTTTCAGTTTATCACACACAAAGGTTATTAGTATTTTGCTTCTCGAACTTTTGGTCTCGAGCGGACTTAATGGGGTTTACACGTTGCGCTTACACGGAAACTGTTACCATCAGTTTACATTGACCTATCTGTTTTATGATTTGTTAGACATAATTACAGCTTTGTTGTGGAAAATAAAATGTATAAAAATATTATTTTGATTATAAATATTGACGTCTGCTGTAAAACATACTATTGTCTTATTAACACTTACTACATACAATACATTTGGGAACATGAATACGATACAGATGTATGATACTGTATATAATATTGGTATCAATTTTCTCCATCAGACAAACGCCTATTTTTTGTAATTCTTGTTTCTAGACGGAAAAGATTACACAATATGTAATTTTTTGGCTCTCAGATGACTCTTTCGAACTGTGTCTTGATCTCTATCGTTTTTTATACAAGTTTTTCACGATATCTTCCTAAAAAAGGCCACAATTCAGTCGTTACATTCCTCTACTCTAGTCTACGATGGAAAGATTACAAGGGAGATTGATAATCGGACATGGAGAGGGATAAAATTATTCGAGTTTCCAAATGCTAGACAGAATTATATCTAAATAAATATGTCTACAACTATAATTTCAAAATATATGTGTGTTTATTAGACTAAATATATAGGTGAGTATATAATAATTGAAAATTGTGTGGTGGAAAATGAAAGTAAAATAAATAAACAAATAATTAAATGAATGAATGAATGAATGAATGAATGAATGAATGAATGAATGAATGAATGAATGAATGAATAAATGAATGAATGAATGAATGAATGAATGAATGAATGAATGAATGAATGAATGAATGAATGAATGAATGAATGAATAAATAAATAAATAAATAAATAAAAAAATAAAATTATTGAGGGCAGTTTTTTAACTGTATTTTTTATTTAGATTCCTGTTTTGTTATGTTGCTGTCTCATTGACGTTTACAATATATCGTCTTTTATTCGTACCGCCTAGGGGTCGCCTCGAGTGGATGAGGTCGTTGATTCGATATCTGACCGGGTCATATATACCATAAACCTAAAAATGTATATGTTCTACTTCTGCTCGAAGCATGCGGCATTAATGATTGATTGGTTCGGAATCACAATAAAATCTCCTGGTAGGATGGCATGTCATTCTGTGGACTGTTACCTTATCAAATTGCATGGCTAATATAAAAATAAGGAGATGTGTTTTGATTGCAATGAGACAACTATCCACCAAAGTTCGAATGAAGTGGATTTTAGCAATTAAAGGCAACCGTACGGCCTTCAACAATGAGAAAACCCATACCGTATAGTCGACTCTAAAAGGCCCCGACATGAAAAATATGAAACAATTCAATAGAGAAAACTAACGGTCTAATTTATTACAAAACAATTTACGAAAATTTCAAAAACAAATATGACAGACATAAACCAACGACAACCACTGAACTACATAATGTGGTAGGGTTAAACATATTTGAAGGCCCCAACCCTCCCCTAACCTGGGGCATTGGTGTAACAGTACAACATATAAACAAACTATAAAAATCAGTTGAAAAGGGCTTAACTCACCAGATCGATACAAAGCAGAAATACATCTAACAAAACCACAGAACGGAC